ATGTGCATTGACTAAAACACCCATGGTTGAAAGTAAAGCTTAATTTGAGGGGGGTTTCTTGAAACACAAACTGAAGTTGGGGTTGATACAGCTTAAAATGAACAACATTTAACAGCCCACTAACACAATTGTAACAAAAAATGAAACTTGTTCCATTAATTTCAACCATATATACATACGCTTTCAGTTTTTGACAATCTTCCAAGAATAAAATAAAAACAACACCAAAAGATAAAGAACAAGAAAAACTGCCATCATTGTCTCTTTGTTGCCTTCTTCATCGTCGCCGAATTACCACGCAAAGAATCCGCAGTTATTAGTCCTCAATTCAATGAGTTTTGATGGGAAATATCTTAAACAAAAACTGAAATTTTAATTTTTTTTTCCAAACATTAGAAGCATGAATAAGTACGAAAAGTGAAAAGTTGATGTTTCAAAAAAGAAAAAGAAGACAGTTCAGACCTAGATCTGACAATGGTGCTGGAGGAAGAAGAGAAGGGGGAAAATAGAAGAGGTATTTTAACCCAAAATAACTAAAAAGAGCATTGGGGTAAATTTCTAATGACTCAGGGGTAGTATGGTCATTTTGAAAGTTAATGTTAGTGTAGGGGGTTGAGTGAGAAAAGTTAAGGGGGTTTAGTTGTATTTTAAAAGTTAATGGGATTACTACAACAACCTCTTTTTTTGTTCGGGGGTTTAGTTGTATATTCTCTGAGGCAACCTTATAGTTGAGGGGGGCTTTCTAAAATTAACCCTACAAAAAAAATACATAATATACAGAATATGTGATTCTGACATGTGTTTGAAATTTGTTCAACACAATGTGACCTTATGCTTAAAAGAGAGAGTATTCAATGACCTTGTGCTTAAAAGAGAGAGTATTCAATGGTCCCTACCCACAAGATTAATGGTGCACCAAGTGTTGAGTCTGTTAACTACCTTTGGATTAGTACAAGACAAGGATTGGTAGAAAATATTGCACCATATCTTGGGGTCACTCTTCCGCGGTGCATCAACTTTCACATTGACAAGGACCACTGTGTAGTTATTCCATGGTGATGGTAGAAGTTTCTCATGCATAAGATCATATCCACCAAAACACGGCAGGTATTGTTTGACGGGTGAAATTATCAAACTCCTTAGAATTAAAGCATTGTGGATCGTGTGGGGCTGGGTACAAATCTCATCCATCCAAGTTGGACTGGATATTGGCTGGGATTGTGTATTTTCTCATTCACTCCCGGAAAAGCAAATATCGACATCAAAAGTGAGTGAGGAAAAGGAAAATAAAATCCTACAATCACAAGGCCTGGAACTAAATGGAAACGTCAATGGCATAGGAATGGAAGCCAATTATATGCATATCTTTTGATCTTCTTCTCCTTTTCATCACATTTCTTTCTTTCTAAATATTGTTTAATTTTAATAGCGGATGCAGTTTGGATTGTCAGGACTGAAATGACAAACTACACCCGGCCCTTTGATCTTCTAGTATTCCTAGGTACACTTCGATTTTAGCAAAACCAAGCGCCTACAAGTTCAGATTACCAACATGGCAAAGACAGGGTCAGTGCTACCAAGTTGATATTACTATTTTCTCTTTCTTCCTCTCTCACTTTACTCTTCTTCACGAGTGCTAAGCTTGGTGCTGGGCATGCTGGCTGACATAACGGACACTCCACCAAGGAGGCCACACTTTTGAACAGCAAACAGGAGATCTATGATCACATATCAGGAAAGGAACTACAATGGACAAGATTATATGTTGTTCAGAAACTCTAAATCTCTTACCTATGTAACCAACTCACTACAGGATCATCTTCAAATTGAAGGTTTATTCCACCAAAATCAATTAGACCTGAAGCAACTTATAATGGAGCGACTTCCAAGTCAAGAAGACTGCATAAATGCAATAAGTCTTAAGTAAATAAAGGCTTTGCAAATATAAATCTAAAGTACAAGTTTCAACAACTGGTAGAATAGGACCTTGATTTCTTGTAAATAAACATCCAAGCTTCAAAAACCATTAAAATCAGGAATGGTGATTTGATCTGCGCAAGATGTATTATCCAAACAAAAGCATTCCATTTATGGACTGTGAGGTTTTCTTATGTGCATAAAAAGTCGGTTCAAGAGAAGGTGCTAAAACTGATAAAGTTTTTTTGCTGTCAAGCACTTTCTGCCATCCAGAACAGTTTCCTTTGTAGTTTTACTAAATAAACCGTTGTCAAAGGAGATGCCTTTATGACTAAATTTCTGCTGATGCCACATCTGCTAATTATTTCTTCAAGTTGCTTGTCAAACCTGTTCAACAATAAGAAAAGAGCGTCTAGCTAACCTCACTAACAACCACTAAGGACAAGGGGAGTGAAGCACGTTAAAAAATTTGCTTCCCTCAACTGCAATTAAACATCATTAGACACTGTCCCTCCTAAATCTTACATCAAATAAGACCCATGGATTTTGATCACCTTGCGCATCATCCAGAATATGAGAGGTTTGCCTCCAAATGAAGTTCAGCATAATAAACACTGCTAGCTCATGTTGCAAGTCATCGTAACAAACATGTATTCATTTAGACTCAAAGTGTAGTTGATGCTTAAAAGCCCTACATTTAAGCACTTATCCAAATAGAATATAAATAAGTTTCGAAGTGAACCCAAGCTTACCCTGTCCTTGGTCAAAGCACCAGTAGCAAAAAGTCCAGCACCATCTAAAGCTAAAAGAACCCTTTCCTGAAACATCAACATTGCTCATTAAATATGAAAGCTACTAAGGTAGAGAATTTGACAGATTGAAACAAATAAGAAACAAAGCAATAAAAGAAATGCAAGAAGATGATGCAGAACTGCAACAATGCAGATCCACTATGCAACTTCTATCTCGTTTTTGAAGATGACAAATTGTTTAGACTTAGAAATATATTGTCGCAGATAGTATAACATAATTTGTACAATATAATATAACCAGGCAGGGAAAACTAATTTAGCAGGAACTTGTTCACAAAACAACAGGCAAAGTAAGACAGGAACTAACATCTCAAACTCCAGGTCAGTAGAGCATTCAATTTGGTGATTCCTACACTTTTACAATGCAAACAAGCAGACAAGTATAACAATGCAAGTTGACATGTTTAGTGAATGAAACATTGATGAAGATGTACAATATAAAGAAATGCTCAATGCATTTCCAATCTCTGAAAAGAAGAAGAAGAAAAGCAATTTGGTTATATTAGAACATTGACTTGAAAAGATAGGAGCATAAGTAGTTAAAGCTGTCAAGTGCATACCTCACTTTCATCACAAATCTTTGAGATCTCCTGAAGTACTTCCAAAACAGAAGGTTTAACAATAGCTTGTTTCTGCAAAAACAATAATTAACTTTTTTTTCCTTAATCAAACTGGTATGGTCATGGACTCCAGTAAATGCATTCGATTATAGACCTGAAGCTCTTCAGGACTCCTCTCCTCTAGAATCACTCCAAGCAGCTGACAGGTCATCTGAGTACATGTAGGAAAACAAAATGTCATGTCATGGTTAAGTTCTTCAACTTTCTAAAATTAACAGTAATGCTTGCTGATATTTTGCCTAATGCCTGAACTACGTATTGAAGCATGCAAAACAGTATGAGCTACCTATTAGAAGCAATCAACAAGTATAGTCAACAATATTTTTTTTGGGAACAGAAGCGAAGGCAGGAATTTTTGACTATTAGTGTAATAGAATAATAATAGTGTTAGGCTATTGGCACTAGGAGATTGTGCAAATGTTTTGATACAGATATAAACTATTACAAATCTTAAGTATGTTTTGTCAATGCCATCAAACTTTTACAAAGTAAACTATCATAATATCTATTGAGAGTTGATTGGGACGAAAAAGAATTAGTTTTATGTTTAAATTAAAGTTACGGTTCTTATAATATGATGAAACTTTAAAATCATTACTATATCTTAGTTATAATACATTGACTAGAGAGGAAAAATAGCGGAATCTCAGCCAAGAGCCAAATTGGTATTTCCAATAGTTCACCCCAAGCTTCCACCATAACAGGTAGAGCCAGGTATATGCAGCAGTCAGTCACACTCTCTAATATTTTCAAAAAATAAAATGTTACTCTTAATTCCTGTGTCCACCCCCCCCCCCCCAAGTAAAGAAAAGAAACAAAACCCAAGTAGACGTGAAGATATTATAACACTAAACAAGAATTCTTTGAGTGGCTCCGTGCAACTTAACACCCAACTTCTATCTTAAATATATTCCTAATTCCTACAACCAATGACATACTTTTGAACCCTCCAACTTAGAAAGATAAAATCAATTCTAAGTGAAGTACAACAAAGCCAACAACGATGAAAAATTACGAAAATTCAAAAGAAACTAGGTATTTCCCCCATCTTCACCTATAAACTGTTTGTCTCAAGTATATTTTTTTCCCCTCTCACTCATCAAATGTCTTTCATTGAGTTGATTTTCCCCCTTCTTCTGAAGTCCTCTTGTGGTGTCGATGGCAACTTTGCAGGTACTAGGACGTGAAATCTCGGTAATGGATCCAATAATCTTTTCCTCATTTAATTGCATAGGTTATGACGTGATATCTTTTTCTTTCTTCAACATTTATATTGAGTTTCCAATATCATTGTAAGTTATAAGCTACAATGATGTGATCTAAATATGTTTTGCACCATTACTGAATGGTTTTGTCACATTAGGAAACTTTAGTTCAATTAAGAAGTTACTGTTCAACCACATACTTTGTATAATGAAAACTAAATTAATATATTTGCGCAGCAACTATAATATCGGATGAGGATGACGCTTGCAAGCTGGTCAAGAATATCAAAGTATTATCATAGAGATTTTATATAAGAGCAGCATGAAGATGCACAGGATACATGCTGTGGGTCAAGACAATGTTCAAGACCAAAAAAGCTTAAAGGATCAATCATATGTTGGGTCAATGAGTCTTGTGTCCTAGGTAACATGTGTACAGCTATTTAAACATTAAAGCATGGCAAATTGTTTGATCAAGGTGGTTCTTGAAAAAGTTTTTTTTTAAATGGTTTTCGTTTAGAAAAATCTTTTTCATTGATCTTCCACTCTGAATCTTCCGGATTTTATGAAGAATATTTTATTCATTTATATTATTTTATTCAAGTGGAGCTTGCTTAAGTTTGATCCAAAAGTATTTTATAACTAGTTCTACTAAGTGTAAGTGGAGCTTGCTTAAGTTTGATCCAAAAGTATTTTATAACTAGTTCTACTAAGTGTAAGTGGAGCTTGCTTAAGTTTGATCCAAAAGTATTTTATAACTAGTTCTACTAAGTGTAAGTGGAGCTTGCTTAAGTTTGATCCAAAAGTATTTTATAACTAGTTTTATAAAGTGTTCTTATTGGGAAAAATCTGTTTCATGGTTCTTCCAAAGCGTGCTTCCACTCTGACATATTCTAATCTAGAGATAATCTTTTCTCTTTAATACTATACTATTCAAAGTGAACATTTCCTTTCTCAATCGCTGTTGTTCTCTTGTGCAACCTTGTACCATGTGAAACTTATTTTTAAAGTTGATAAGTTGTCCCTTGTGAGTGGTCTCAATATCCTTGCATTAAATGTTAGCTCATTATGAGATCTCATGCAATTAATACTTGGCTTGTCCCATTAGACTTGTTTCTTGCTTGCCTAATATCTTACTCCCCATTCCCTTTACTCTTGCAAAGAGAAGTAGGTAATGGTCATTTATTGTCACCTTTAAACCTCACTCAATATTATTTTAGTATATTAGGTTCCCTTATGATCAAAGGCCAACGACATTAAAGTATATCATTAATCTCCACTAAAGAATATTACACAAAAAGCTTATTAGAAAAATATGAGTGATAAGATATATAGAGGAGCATCAACTGTTGGTACAAATCGCTTAATGGTAATACAATTTGGCTAGTGTCTATAAATCAACCAAATAAAATATTCTTTGGTGGAGATCAATAGTATATTTTTTATGTTGTTGGCTTTTGGTCATAAGAGAACTCAATAGAATAAAATAATGAGTGGGGTTCAAAGATAACAACAAATATCCATTGCCTACTTCTCTTTGCAAGAAAAAAGAGAATAGGGAATAAAATATTAGATAAGTGGGAAACAAGCCTAATAGAACAAGTCAAGCATTAAATGCAGAAGATCTCATAAGAACGGGCTAACATTTAATGCAAGGATATGGAGACCACTTACAATGGATAACTTGTCAACTTTAAGGACAAGTGTAAGATAATACAAGGTTGCATTAGAGAACAACAGCGACTGAGCAAGGAAATGCCCATTTCAAATAAAATAATATTGAAGAAAAGATTCCTTATAAATTAGAATATGTCAAAGTGGAAGCACACTATGGAGAACCATGAAATAAAGTTTTCTAATAAGAACACTTTATAAAATCAAAACACTTTTAGATCAAACTTAAGCAAGTTCCACTATATAAATGAAGAAATGTTCTTCATTAAATCTGGAAGATTCAGAGTAGAAGCACAAGTGGAAGATCAATGAAAAAGATTTTCCTAAACGAAAACCTTTATTGAAAAACTTTTCTTTCCTTAAGAGTTCATCTCTAAACAAAGTTGTTAAACAAATAGTCCAAAGCTTTCACTTATATTTCTTGAAAGGATTTCAATTGTTATTGAGATTATTTATTAAGGATCAAATTGCCAAATATTGCATCTCCTTTAGTTGGTGTTTACTGAGCCTATAGAGCCCCAATTGTAAAAGTGTGAGTATCTTATAAGTGAGATTAGGCTAAATTGAGTTTTCAAATTGCGTTTGTATGAGACGAAGATTTTTTGCTGTTGTTTCTCTCCTTGGTTTGAGGAAAGATGTTGTCCTATTCACTGGAGGTTGTCAAGGGTAATAGAGAGTGAATTCCAGCTTTTGGTGTGAAAATTGGCTGGTGTAATTCAAGCTCAGTTTAGATTTGTGTAATAGTGGATACTAAAATCCTAGTGGAGGCACTAGGTTACTGGATGTAGCTCAGTTGAGAAGTGAACCACCAGAAAAATTGTTGTGGAATCTTTGATTGTCTGCTACTCATGTTTCCATCTGTGCATATTATTCGAACATTCCAATCAATGTCGAAAATAACGATAATGCATAACGTAATGCTCTACCTCCTATTAGGGTTAAAAAAAACAACGTAAAAATGTAAATCCGGATTTGATCCAAAAGTATTTTATAACTAGTTCTACTAAGTGTAAGTGGAGCTTGCTTAAGTTTGATCCAAAAGTATTTTATAACTAGTTCTACTAAGTGTAAGTGGAGCTTGCTTAAGTTTGATCCAAAAGTATTTTATAACTAGTTTTATAAAGTGTTCTTATTGGGAAAAATCTGTTTCATGGTTCTTCCAAAGCGTGCTTCCACTCTGACATATTCTAATCTAGAGATAATCTTTTCTCTTTAATACTATACTATTCAAAGTGAACATTTCCTTTCTCAATCGCTGTTGTTCTCTTGTGCAACCTTGTACCATGTGAAACTTATTTTTAAAGTTGATAAGTTGTCCCTTGTGAGTGGTCTCAATATCCTTGCATTAAATGTTAGCTCATTATGAGATCTCATGCAATTAATACTTGGCTTGTCCCATTAGACTTGTTTCTTGCTTGCCTAATATCTTACTCCCCATTCCCTTTACTCTTGCAAAGAGAAGTAGGTAATGGTCATTTATTGTCACCTTTAAACCTCACTCAATATTATTTTAGTATATTAGGTTCCCTTATGATCAAAGGCCAACGACATTAAAGTATATCATTAATCTCCACTAAAGAATATTACACAAAAAGCTTATTAGAAAAATATGAGTGATAAGATATATAGAGGAGCATCAACTGTTGGTACAAATCGCTTAATGGTAATACAATTTGGCTAGTGTCTATAAATCAACCAAATAAAATATTCTTTGGTGGAGATCAATAGTATATTTTTTATGTTGTTGGCTTTTGGTCATAAGAGAACTCAATAGAATAAAATAATGAGTGGGGTTCAAAGATAACAACAAATATCCATTGCCTACTTCTCTTTGCAAGAAAAAAGAGAATAGGGAATAAAATATTAGATAAGTGGGAAACAAGCCTAATAGAACAAGTCAAGCATTAAATGCAGAAGATCTCATAAGAACGGGCTAACATTTAATGCAAGGATATGGAGACCACTTACAATGGATAACTTGTCAACTTTAAGGACAAGTGTAAGATAATACAAGGTTGCATTAGAGAACAACAGCGACTGAGCAAGGAAATGCCCATTTCAAATAAAATAATATTGAAGAAAAGATTCCTTATAAATTAGAATATGTCAAAGTGGAAGCACACTATGGAGAACCATGAAATAAAGTTTTCTAATAAGAACACTTTATAAAATCAAAACACTTTTAGATCAAACTTAAGCAAGTTCCACTATATAAATGAAGAAATGTTCTTCATTAAATCTGGAAGATTCAGAGTAGAAGCACAAGTGGAAG